AGAATGTCGCTATGCTCAAGGAGATCGCCAACCAGATGAGGCTCGCCCAGGAGGCTCAGCAGAAGAGCCAGGCTAAGGCGGCTGACGAGGAGGTCCCTGAGCTCGAGGGAGATTTCGAGGAGGCTTCCAAGAAGGAAGAAAAGAACTAAATTGCCTTGCGGCTGACCAGTTGTATCTTCTCGGTTTCCTCAGCATTATCATCGTTGAGTCCAATCACAGTGTAGTGGGAATGGTCGTAGTTTTTCAAAATGGCAATAACTTCTCCGAAACGGTTAGAATCATCCCTTGGTGGCGGCATGTCTCGGTCGACCTACATTCGTATTTACATCAGCTCCTGCCTGCTGGGTATCATCAATAACAACGGTTACACTCTAGTAAACGCTGTAGCTGCTGATCTCGCATTCCGTTATGGCAAGGTTAATTTCATGAGCCTGTTCACGACGGTGCTCCTCGTTGGTTGTTTCGGTATGACTATTCTTCACTCGAGAGTTGCCTTTCGATTTTCATTCAAGCAACGCATTTTCTTCACCCTGTGCTGTCAGACTCTTTCCTACGGTCTGCTGGCAGTAGCTGCTATTCTTACTAACCCCAATTTCGGCTTTGCCCTGTCCTTGATCGGGACTGTCCTCACTGGCTTTGCCCAAGCCATTGGAGAGGTCAACAACATATCCCGACTTCATAGGCTTCCGGCCACGCTCATCGGGGCGTGGGGTGCTGGCACTGGTCTTGCTGGCATCGTTGGTCCGTTGATATACTCCGTCCTAGTGGCCGCTGGGGTCCACTACTCGTATGTCATGCTGGGAATGATCATAACAATACCAATCTACTGGGTGTTGTTTTCTTATATAAACAACAAGGCCGATTCTTGTTCCAGTGTGGACGACCATGAGGAGGCGACTTCCTCCTCTTCTGCTGCTAAGAGCATGGTCAGTAGCAGTCTCTCCATTAGCAGCATCAAAGTGGCTTTAGCCATGGCTGGGGGTATCATCATCAACCTTACTGCAGTGTACTTCTTGGAGTACTGGATCCTCACTGGCTTCCTCGATAGAGCCTCGGTCGGCCTCCCTGCTGATGCTTCCTCTTTTGCTCGCTCAACTGTACGCTTCTGCAACATCTCGTACAACACTGGTGTTCTCATATCGCGAGCCTCGGTGACGTGGGTCCAGATTAAACGAGTTTGGATACCAACTCTTCTCCAGCTCGTCCTAGTGATTTTCTGGGCTCTAGAAGCCAGTCTCCATTTCATCCGAGATGGCGTTGCTGCCTACTCTACGATGACGTGGATATACATCTGCATTATGCTGATAGTAGGCCTCATGGGAGGCGCCTCTTACTCCAACTGCATGTTCTTATTCCAGCGTCGTCAGGA